AAGAAAGCTGTAAAATTACAGTGTCTCTTGTAATACATGGATTTCCATATTTGATTATTTGTCAGGTAGCTGGGAGTGTTTTAAACATGAACAGTATTTCTAGGTATGCTGGGAGGGAAAATTCTTCTGTAAGTCACCATTGGTGCGATTAGAGGAAAAATAACACCATGTAAACATTCAAGGAAGAAAAAAGAGAGCAAAGATACAGAGCTACTTTTGAACTTTGGAATCTCCCACGTCACTCTTGTGTGCATGAAGGGGATGCTGCAATCATGGGTAGAATCACAAGAGGGGTACACATACAGGGTGTTTCTGCTCTCAGCCTTATACATCTCCCCAAGGTAAAACAAAACCAGCAAAATGGCTGTGATGTGCCAAAAGGATTAATACACTGTCCTTTACACGACCTACTCCTCGCTTCCACTTGAAAATAGGAGGTTCATTTCAGTCACACAGGGATGTTCTGACCCTGAAACCTAGAGTAAGCACCACAAACAGGTCGATCGAATACCCGTTTTTCCAAGAGTGAAAGATACTCCTGTTTGGCAGCTGATGCCCAAATCCTTTTAGCCTTCCATCTTCCATAGCACACACTGCTCATTACTACCTGTCTGTGCTTGCTAGGAAGTGCCTACATCCACTCTCTGAATCTGAGAATAAAATTAATGTACACAGTGGGCCTACTTCCTGAGACTCACCATGGAGACCGTAAACCTGGCACATTTCAATATCTAAAATTTTTTTTTGCATCTGGAAAATTCAAGAGCACTTATAACCTTCAGGTATATTGGTCTTTGTTCTTAGAGCATTATGAGTGTGTCACATAAATTGCCTGTTCCAGTGAATACCGAAATAGAATTAAGAGTGTGTACATACAGCATCTTGAAAAATGATTTTATATTACTTGTTATTCTGCTTCCAAAGCATTACACAAAATTGATTGAAGAGAAAACTGGAATATCATCCACCACTGAGGAGTGCTACTGCTCAGCTCTTCATCTTCCGTGTGACTTATTTGTAAAGTACAGTTGTGAAGACATAAGGCTCAATTCATTTTTTTGGAAGGTGCGCTGATAGATATTTTCTCAGCTCTTGCTGCAGAAACCTTTTGCCTTTGAAGGAATCTCAGTTGCTGTGAACGTGAAATCTTCAAAATACTGTACCTTATTTTGTTCAGTTATTATCTATTGAAAACTAGTATTGATGACAAATTCCTAAAATAATTCAACTAGAATAATGAAAGCTAGAAGGCTAAATGTACACATTCTTAGCCAAGTCAAAAATTTAGCTTTAGAATCCATAATCAATAGAGAAAATGATAATAATATTATGGGGGAAGCAATAGAACATGTTACCTATGGGATATGCCTTTGATTTTTTTGAACACATTAAAAATTTCAACATAATTCTGTCTTTTTGAAATCTTGTAGATTTTTATAGGATGATTTCCACACTGTACTTAAAAGGAGATACTTGTTTTGTATACATGTTTTAAAACTTATTATGATGGAAATAAAATATTTCAGCTGATAAAAATTATCAAATTTCTTTTTCTTCTTTGCCCTGTCTAATTCCAAAAAAGCCTACATGGATCATTTTGGATAGGTATGAAACAATTACTTTAAACATAGACTCCATAGAGTAAATCTTTAATAAGAGTTTCTCCATTTTAAATAGTAATAAAATACTCCATCTGCGATTTATTAATCAGGTAACTAGGAAACTGGGGAAAATCTATTTTGGTGATTTTAAAAATATGCCTATGGGCCAGAGATGTAGCTCAGTGGTGCCACACCTGCCTGGCAAGCATAAGGCCCTGAGTTCAATCCCTGGTACCAAAAATAAATAAGTTAATTAAAATATGCTTAATGTAAATTTTTTAATTGAGCAAATTAATCAATAAGAGGGCACCAACCACTAGTAATGGTTGCAAGTAAAAAGTGAATATAAAGAAAATGAATTTGAGAGATATATAGGTAGAATAAATAAAACAGAAGGATGTAGAATGCTAAGGTTCTAATGCACTCAGATGACTGGAAAGAACCCAAATGTCACCAGTATATTTCTTCAATAAAGGCAAACATACCATAAACACTGATGCTGGAAGGTGGATAACTCTTTTCCTCTCTCACTAACCACCACTACACCCCCTGCTGTTCATTCTGTTAATCTATGATATTATATGACCATAAGGCCTATATTTTTCATACCCCAGCTATTCAGCTGCTCTTTAAATCTATTCCACACTGTAGAATGGAACTGTTTTCTCCAGATGGCCCCCATTTCCTCTTAACAGCCTCCAGCAGTGTTTTGATTTGCTGTAATAAGAAAAAATATTTCTCTTTTTCCCTCTATTCACTAAGCCTTTTAGTCATAATTTCTAATGTTGATTGATGGCATTCTTCTGATCGCAGAGCTTTAAAAAGAATTCTGGCCTAAAAAGGAAGAGTTTTTGTTTTTGTATTACTTGGTAGGATACACATTCTTATATTTCAGTTTTCTTCAATATCAACTATGGAATCTTCATTCTCAAGAAAGGAATCAATGTCTGTAAATTTCATAGCAATAATAATAATCAAAAGCCTCAATAACTGATAGATTTAGGGCACAAATGTACCAGCTACTCTTCTTAGGGTTTGAGTGTATTAATTCATTCAATCTTCTTAACCACCCCACAAGGTAGGTACTATTATTACAGCCTTATCATAGGTGAAGAAACTGAGGCATAGAAAAGGGATTTGCTTAGCTTGAGATGACAAAAATAGTAATTAAGGAGGTGGTAGTCCAACACAAGGAGTTTGGCTCCAGAGCCCATGCTTTAGTTATAACTTTACTTCCTTAAACTCCCTCCCAAATTAAAAGTGAGTAAAAAAAATTAGCAGACATCCTTTGAATAATTTTTAAGCAACATTTGTTGATTCCTTCTAAAATTGAGCTTGAAACATAACATATGAAATGCAGTATATAGAAGAGCACTTCAGGATATAAATTCCACACCTTAGAGTTCCCACCACCCTTCAAAAATAGCCCATAGCTATTGGTTATATAAGAACTTGAACCTGACATATCTACACATCCTTTGTAGAACACAGAATTTTATGTGTCTGGGTTGGGAGGCATATTAATATGCTGGTAACATACAAATAGTCTAATCTTTTTTTTTTAAAGGAAAGATTTATTTGGGTTACAGTTCACAGAGGTTTCAGTCCATAATCAGCTGGCTCCAAAGCAGGGTGGCATGGCAGACAGTTCTTGCAGAGGAGAAACAATCCATGGCAGCCAGAAGATAACAGAAGCAACAAGGACAGTCTAATCTTCTTTTAATCATTTTGAACATATTTGTTTCTCTGGTACTTAATTTAAAATCTATCAAAGAATAGCTTGTAACAATGCTTTAGTTTCATCTTGGTATTGGTTCTAGCTGAACATCATATAAAATTAGGTCACTTAAAATTATGGCAAGAAGATTATCAGTCTGCAAACTAGAACAGTCCTGTCAGCCTACCAAATTAAAATCTGAATCAATTTGACTCCTCTGATACTGATAAAGAAAGTAACCAGTATCAATAGGTAAAGGAATAAATAGAGTAATGTACTTTACCTTTGGGGTGCCAAGTTACTCCCAAAGTTCTAATTATTTTTTAATCTAGCTTAGTAAGTAGTTAGATGTCATAAGCAATGTGTATTTAGTATTTTACACCATACTATCTCTACCAAAGTCTTCACATTGTAAAACTGGAGCCCTAAGTTACCAATACATTAGTTCCTTTCTAGATCCTATAGGGATCAAAGATGTTTTGGATGCACTTCATTTTGCTTAGCTTCACACTGGGAGGCACTTTGGTTTGCTACCTCATTAGGATGGAGTTAACATTAATATTATAGAGTTCATAAATCCTTGAAAGTTTTTTTACATAGCATGTTTTAAATAACTACTTTCTGAGGCTCCTATATGGCAAATGAATATTAAAAGATAAAGTCAGGCACTGTATTTTTTTCATAAAGGACTATCTGGTTATTAAACATTATCCAAATGTTTATCAAAAATGTGATAACAAGCTTCCAAAATCATGGATCTCATGGGAATAAACTTAAGAACACAAAATATCTTACACTTTTCTTTGAAAATTCCACAAGCATTTCAAAAAATTATTCACAGTGCCAGATGGTGTTACCATATTACACCGTTTCTTTATATACAGTGGCATCCGATTTGGCAACATGCCCAAAACTGTTTAATAAATGCGTTTTGATATTTATGTGAGTTTAGAAACCCAGAAACAAAGGGATAAATAAAGACCTATAAAATAGAAATTTCCAGTTGTCTCTAAGCAGCATGCAAAATTTCTAGATTTTGTTCAGTTTTCATCTAAATGTCTACAAAGTACAAGAATGGGGCTCTAGAATAGACTGCCAAAGAATTCTAGTGGCCGTAGAGTCCAGTCTAGTGTATCTCTGCAGTTTTAACCTGTGCACTGCAGGATAAATAGCGAACAAATGTGTAATATGTATCTCATGCTTTTGCACCATAAAGAGGTCATCCTTAACTTGTACAGATGGTAGGAAGACCAATCTGCAAAATGCTATCAGATATTGATTATATTTTCAAATACTTACTCTCTAATACTATACAATTACATAACAATTTTAAAATACTATCCTGTTATGTGATGTAGTAATGAAAATATGTAGAATCTATTATTTTTTAATTTGGTCTAGAAATAAAATTGATATATCAATCTCAAATGAAAACAAAGTGAAAAATCATTATTTCAGCATCTTTCAACTTACCTGCTGTACACTGTTAATTATGAAACATTCTCTTTGGACACTAATCCAAATGGAATAATTTAAAAACAAGTTTATTTGTTATGCTGACTAATTGTTTCTGTGTACCTGTACTTAAAGACATCTTTATTTTTCAACTTTTTTTTTCATAATTTGCATGTCAGCTACCTTAAAAACGTCCTAAAATGCTTAGTAGTTTTGTTTTTTTTTAGGTGCAGCAGGTCAGTGTGACCTGAAGTGTTCAAGTCTGTGAATGAAGCCCAGAACCATCTATTAATATCAATGTAAACAGATCAAGGAGGTTTGAAGGGCAGAGCACTATGTCCTGAATCAGTGTTTCGAACTCATCCTCAAACAGTACAGCATTTATTGAACAGTCCAAGTGTATTGGCCAAGGTACAGAGTGAAAAGGAGATATGCAAGACTTATTGTGGACTTTAGTAGTCATGCATTGAGTATGTCCTATTAAGAACTAACAGAGAATGAGGCAAAATGCTACCAGATTACTTTTAGTCTAAAAAAATGTACATTTTTAGGATGCTTTTTAAAAGTTACTTTGCTCAAGATTAGATTGGATAGTTTAAAGAAAGCAATAAGGAATCAGAAGACAAATGTTTACACTTGCAGTGAAGATTTAAACCACATGTTTTGTTTTGTTGAGACAGGGTTTCACTCTGTCTATTTCACTCTGTCAATTCTAGGCTGGCCTAGAATTCACTATGTAGCCCAGGCTGGCCTCGAACTTGTGGCAATCCTCCTGCCTCACCTTCCTGAATGCTGAGATTACAGGCGTGCCACCACACCCAGCTTATGGTTTTCATCTTGTAAAAGTAAAGCAATCACATAGAATGATGATGCCAAGCTGGGAGGTTGCAACAATGCATTTCTCAGTGTCACTGTGGGGATAAAATGATATGATAGACTGGAAGGGACCTGAAAATGAAAATATTATAAAAATGTTATTAACATTATCCACAAGATTTTAAGCTTCTCATGCAAGAAATCATACTTTGTTTATTTTTATAACCCATATGATGCCTTTCACAAGTATACATCATAATCAAAGTCTTACTACATTTAAAAAAATAAGATATAATAAATTGGGATGCTTTTCTCTGTTTATCAGTTTTCTTCCTTTCAGTCCCTGGGATAACAAGCAAATTTGTGACATACGTCTTTTATAGCTTGTTTTTCTCAAGCTGAATTTTATATTTTAATTTTCCCTAATTCTTTTGTAAGTACATGGACTTGGTATTTAAACATACAAACACATAGGACTTGACCATCATGAGAGATGTAGAAAAATAAGGTAGGTGGAAAGTCAGATTTAGTCAAGGTAAACTAAGGAAGCATGCTTTCTTATGTATACAAGATTTATTTTCTTATGATAAAAACTCAATTTAATCATTGTATCATTAATATTTATAACACTTTCTATAGACTCTCTGCTGATCTTTATAGTGTCTCTAGGGTCTATAAAAGTATCTTGAGGAATTTTACAGTTTAATTACGGAGTTAACCACTTTAGCGTTAGAAGCATTTCAAGTACAGTATAAATCCATGAGAAATGAACACCTTTACAAATGTATTTTTTAAAAAGAAATGTATTAAGTTTCTGGAGGCCAGATACTCTGTGTTCCAAATATTCAACTCTTTTATAGTACAAAAGCAGCCATGAACAATACATAAATGAATGGACATAGCTGTGTTCCAGTAAAACTTTCTTTATAATGGTCAGAAGGCTGGATTTGGCACATGGGCTGCACTTTGATAACCCTACATTGTAGAACAGTTATCTCAACTTTTTCTATAACTCAATAAATATTTAATATGTACCTCTCACGTCACCAGTGCCTGCACCAATCACCACTGTCCTCTTTGTAGTATATTACTTTTGACAGCTAAAATGGCAATCAAAGAGATTTCAGACATGAGGTTCCAGAGGTATCTTCTCTGGAAGAAGTTGCACAGTGAGATACTTAAGGGTCTGCGTGGTCAATGTGCAATTCTTTTTCAATTACTCTATATTATATAAGCCAGTAACTAATTAACTATGAAATTAATTGTGTATATTACAAAGGAGTTCCAGATTTATATATAACTTTAACCTCACTTTTAGACCATAACCATTTATTTGGCTTCCTGAAGATCTCTGGTTTCTTCAGATAGTTTTGAAGCCAGAGAGGGCAGAATCAGGGCCTATCAGAAAGTGAGTGAGTGGTATATGAGAGAAAAACTATATATATACACACATATACATTCACAAACATATGTGTATGTATGAAGTATGATCTAAAATATGGTAAATGTTCAAGTTTTAAAAAATAATTATTACAGTAAAAGACATATTAGCATTAATCTCCCTCCAAATACTTCAGATGTATTCCATCATTCTTGTCACTTTTTGAAGCAGTTCTGGAAGTCCTCTTTCATGAGTGCCTTTAATTGCACTCCTGTGGCTGTCTTGATGTTTTGAATTATTTACCTTTCAAGGTCATTTAGGGAAGAACCAGAAGTCACATGGTGTCACATTTGATGAATAAGGTGGATGAGGACTTGTCATTATGTTTTTTTTACAAGCCTGCTTTTTCTTTCGATGGTACTCAGCAGAGGCAGTGTTCACTGTATTTTTAAACACACTTCATAAAGACAGTCAAGAAGGAGGACTTCCAGAACTGCTCCAGAAAATGGCAAGAATGATGGAATAAGTGTATTTGAAGTGAGAGGGAATACTTTTGGGGCTATTAATGGCAATGTGTCTTTTATTGTAACAAATTTTTAAAATTTAAACATTCACTGTATAGTTTGATCACTTCTTGTACATATGTATATTATATATAATCTATATATAGTGTATGTATGTGCATATACGTTTCTAGATACACACAGACAGAAATTGGTTAGAGATTAGATAGAAGAGAAAAGTATATATATTGTACATTTGATTAAACACTATTTTAATTTTCTCTCTTGACCAAACAGAATTTAAATCTTTTAGATGCTGTATATTATTCAGTTTAACAATGTGGAATAGTTCACTGCCTGTCAGTGCTTTTATCCCACCCCCTCCCCCCAGATGATACACTGGAACTTGCAGAGTTCGATGCTGGGCTGGAATAATTTCCTTTCTTACTGTCCTAGAACTGCCATCTTTTTGTTATTCAGCTGAGGTTAGCATGCCTGCCCAAGACTCAGTATGTCTGAAAGAAAAGGTTAAAATAACATTACACTGGAGCTCAACATGGCTCCCTAGTTGCTAAGAAACACTGAAAATTCATATTATACATTTTTCATTTGATGTAACCCAATGAAGATTCTGGATAGTCTGTTGGCATTTCCATAATATATGTCAGGCACTGTTAATTGTGGAGGTTTGCTAACTGTAATTTGAAAATCTAGAATCTTAATAATGTGTTAGCCATAATATTTTAATTAGATATCATAATTAAATTCTTCCTAGAAAAATCTCTATTTCTTTAATTTTTAAGGAAGACTGCTCATATAAATGAACAGATAATCATCTACTTTGGATGAATTCGTTCAGTAGGTAATAAAGCCATATGAACACCAGATGAACAAGTATAGGTTGAGCACCTCTCACGTGCATCACATGTGCTAGGCCTGCAGTGACCTGATGAAGATGAAACTGCTCCTGGCTGAGTGTAGGGTCAAGGGTTAAAAACCAACAAGTAGAAGATCTTCCCAAAGGAGTAGATTAGGAAGACCAACAGAACCACCACTGAGCAGGAAATGTACAATTTGGTTCTACTCAAGTAATATTACTGTCAGATATGACCTATATAACCCATAAGAGCTAACAGATACGATCAGAACTAAAAGAAGGAAGATACTCTTTCACAGGGCAGAGGAATGTGATCCAAGGTATCTTCATGAGAGAGAGGATTGCATTTTGAATGAAGGGTAGAATTTAGAAAATGAAGACAGAAATGGAGGCCAGAAAAAGGCAAAGCCATAGAACAACAGTATGAATTAACATATGAAAGTGGTGACATGAAAAATTCATGTCTCAGCTGGATAAGAATTCTGTTTTGATTAGACTGCTTAAAAAAGTTATCCTATAGTTGATGGGGCTGGGGGATAGAGCTACACAGGTGTAACTGTGCCCAACTGAGGAGGCACTGAAACCTAAGCTGAATCTATATTGGGATTTCCAAAATTCTGCTAACAATCATAGTGCACTGTGATACTCTAAAAAGGTAACAAAAATAATTGGACACAAATATATTGTATCACCTCAACTCAACATCCAGTTCCCTAAAAGAATCCTCCATCTGCTTCTCTGATATATACATAGGATGTTGTAGAATCTAGAAAAGTTGAAGCTGGGGGTAGTGGTGCCTTCCTGGCATCTCACTACTCTGGGAGGCTGAGGCAGGAGGATCACATTTGAGCCCCAGCCTGGGGAACTGAGGACTCAGACTCTATCTCAAAATTAATGAGAAAGACAGAGAGAGAAGGAGAGGGAGAAGAAAAGAGAAGAAAGAAAGAAAGAAAGAAAGAAAGAAAGAAAGAAAGAAAGAAAAAAGAATCAGGCTGGGATTGTATGTAGCTCATGTGAAGGCCTTGGGTTTAATCCCCAGTAGTGGGAAAAAAAGTTGACATTCACACTTGTACTTGTAGCTTTAATTTTAGTACATTGCTCCTGAAATCAAATAAACATTGTTGGAAAACATTCCCAGATTCCACTGCAGATTAATATTGCTACCTGGCAGGTAATATTGCAGAGGATAATATGAGTATTTCTAGTCTCACCTCTTAAGTAACATTGTTATGATGGTCATTTGTTGTCTTGCCAAAGCAAGGGGTCAGGAACTCTTATTCCTAAACAGAAAGATGTTTCGCTGATATAAACAAAACAAAAGAAAACACTGAAAAAACCTCTTTCTTTTAAAATCATTAGTAGTTTTAGTCAGACATGGGGGTTGGGTATTAGAGCCATGAAATGATAGAAGTATAAGAGGCCTTAAGTTGTCCCTCTTTATTTTACTGTGGAACCACAAGAGGCATGGAAAGGTGAAGGGACTTGCCTTAGGAGATAGATCCAGCTAACTTCTACAGCCAGGACTAGAACCCAAATCTAGATCTCAGAGGTTTTTACATGTCAAAATAATTATATCATACCAAATCTCATTAGCTTTAAATTAACTTAGAATGTTCAGTAACTCCATAATCCACAACAGAGTTTCTGAAAATCTCTACACGGTCATTTGGACAGTGTAATTTTTTGTTGTGGGAGGCTTACTGGGCACTGTAGCATGATTTTCATATTCCTGATCCCTAATCCATTAGATGCCAGCATCACTGCCTTTCCCTCACTTTGACAAAATGTCTTGTCTTAGTTACTTTTCTCTTGTTGCTGAGACAAAATATCAGAAACACAAAGTTAAAGAGGAAAAGGTTTATTTAGCTCACAGTTTGTAGAGGTTTTAGTCCATAATTGGCTGGCGCCAAGGCACGGTGGCATGGCAGGCAGGCATTGCAGAGGAGAAATAGTTCATGGCAGGCAGAAGATAGCAAAGGAAGCAAGCAAGGGACTTTAGCAGGCTCTTTCTGCGCGTTTTATATTTTATCTAGGCTACTGGGATTAGGACAGTGCCAAACCCATGAGTGGACTGATTTAATCCTAGCACCCTTAATCCTACCACCCTTAATGCTAGCACTGTACCACGAATCAATCACACACTCTAAATTCAGCCGCCTCTGAAAAAGCCCCACCTATGACCACATGAGGCTTTGGGGAAACATCTAGACATAAGCCATAACATGTCTCCAGACTTGGCCAAATGTCTCCAGGAGGCAAAACTGCCCCCAGTTGACACTGTACACAACCACTTTCTCTAGCCAGCATGTACCTTAAAATATCTTAGAAGCAAGTATGACCTAATGTAAGGACCCCCTTCCAAGAATCTCACACCTCTAACTTGGCCATCTGGGCCTTTTCTTAGGTGTTCTAATTTCCCATGAGGTATTGATTCTCTTGTTGAAATCTAGTTAGGCCAGATTAGCCAACGTTACAGATTCTCACTCCATCTATTCCACTGGATATTACAGGAGACATTTGAGTACCAGATATGGTAGATACTGACCTGAGCACTGGGAATGCAGAGATAATAGGTATTATCTCTTATTTCCATTAGTCCAACCTCTAGTGAAGACAAAAGCATTCATAAACTACTGTCAGCACTGTGATGAGTCTCAGGGTGGGGGATGTATATGCATGATGTTAAAGAATTAGAGAATGCACTTAATGCACTTAATTCACATCGAGAGTGAAGAGAGGTAATTTTCAACGTGGTATCCAAGTCAAGCACGAATCAGAATGAGCAAGGTATAGAGTGGAAAAGTTTAGCCAGACAGAGTGAAGACTATCTACAAGTAAAGAACCAGAAATCTTGGTTTCTCCTGGGTACAGTATCAACAGAGCATGAGACAAAAGGCTGTAGGGTGGGCAGGGCTCAGATCTGGAGGAGCCAGTTGCACCATTCCAAGGAATTTGGAATTGATCCCAAAGATAACTAAAAGCTGGGAGGAGAATGCATGAGATTTGCAACTTAGAAAGACCTGATGTACAGAAGATCACAAAGGTAGGAAAGATAAGGCCCAAACACGGTCACCTCAAGATAAATAATTGATGTATATGTAGAAGAACAATGATGGGAGTGATTCTTGTCCTGGGAAATCTACTGTATTATCAAAGCCTGGCAGGAAGAGGAACAGAGAGACTCAGCCTCTTCTGTAGGAGGAAGAAACCTTTTTACGAAGGCAAGAAGAACTTCTTCCAGGAGCTAAAACTTTTCAGAGAGGCAGAGTTCCCAATTTCCTACTCAGAATTCAGAATTTTCTTTTTCCATAAAGAAAAAAGAACCGTTTTGCATTTTTTTTCTTTTTTTGGTACTGAGGATCAAACTCAGGACCTTTTGCTTGCAAAGCAGGCGCAGTGCCACTAAGCTAAATCCCCAGCTCCATTTTGCTTTTTAAAATATGCGGTTCACAATTTATTCATGGATTACAAGTTTTCTGTACGTGTATGCATGTTTTCCTGGATATGTGCGTTAACTATGGAACACACCATTGCTTCTATGGCAAAATGAATTACAGACTGACTTTCAGAACACAATCCATTTGGCAGCTGGGAACTAGGTATGCCTATTCAGAGAGTAAAAGCACAAATGACAGTAGCAAACTGCACCAGGCCAGTTGTGATTAAGACACTTCCCTAAAGAAGGGTGTTTGGGGCAATTTAAGAACAATACAGCTAACCACATAAAATGCAAATTGAAAGCATCCCTAGGGAGTTGTTCAGGCCCTGCCTGGGTTTAAGTGAGTCTACAGGAAGCTCAGTAGCTATCCCAGGGCCTGGACTGAAATAGGTGCTCTACCAATGATTAGAAAGTAAACTGGGTATGTTGAAATGGACCTATATACAAGTATCTCCTAGTTAAAAGACTTAGAAGAAAAAGACTGGAAGGATGAGTTGCTGAGCTGTGTGCAGAAGAAAGGGACAGTAGGGGTCACCCAGAAGGACAGTAAAACAGCTAGAAAGTCCTTGCACTTGTGCTCATGGGACAGAAATCTATCCTCAGGGGCAGAGGCTAATAGAAATGTGAGGCTACCTTGATTTTTTTTTTTTTTTTCTTTTTTGAGGCAGAGTCTCAATATGTAGCTAAGCCTGGGCTTGAACTTCCTCTGTAGCCCAGCCTGGCCTGGAACCAGTGATCCTCCTGCCTTGACTTCCAAGTGCTAGAATTACAGGCATGTGTCAAGACACCCAGCAACATTTTATTTTGAGAAAGGGTCTTGCTAGGCTGCCCAGGTTGGCATCAACATTTTCCTGCCTCAGCCTCTCTAGTAGCTGCGATGACAGGGAGAGCACTTCTTAATAATACTAGTAAAGGGGATCAACTGAAGTAATTAATGTTAGTCTCACGACTTAATGCATATCTGTTTGAAGAGCTGAGTTGTCAATTTGCAGCTGACACATGGTGGCTTTCTTGTCTCTGATTCATCCTTACTCAAATGGTCCTGGCTTCCTAGAATTTCTAATAAAATTTCCAGTTTTCATTTAGCACCCATCAGACCTGGCAAATCTTTCCAAGTACCTTGTTACCATCTCCCAAGTAACTGCAGAATAAAGTCCAAACCTCTAGACTGCCAGTTAAGTCCCTGCAGAGCCCAGGCCTGTAAGTTCTGCCCAACCCCACAGCTTTTGCATACAAGGAAACATGACATCCTCAGTATCCCCTGAATGAGTGGTCCTCATCCCTGATGCTGAACTTTGGTTACATCTCAACAACTCAACACCTGAAACCCTCCATTCTTCCCTCTTTGTATTAAAAGGACGTTCCTGAGTATGATCTACCCAGTGAAGTGCAAGTCTGAGCTCATTTCTACCCAGGCTGGGCTCACTCCTTGCAGGGCATTCTGTGCATCTCTGGCTTCCTGGTGAAAAGGGTGTTTTTTTTCTACCAGGATGTGGCTCACCCCACAGCTCTGCATAGTATAGGACAACCTAAGGCAATAGAAGATGCCTGGCCTACCTTGGGAGCTCAAGAATATCTGTTGATTTTACTGAATATATACAAGACATTTGACTTTTTCACTTAAGAGTACCACCTGTAATCTCCTCTAGGCCAGGGACATTCCTGTCAATTCCTAACCCCCTCAGGCAAGAAAGAGTTTCTAAAAATCTTAATTTTGATACAATTGGCTTTGACTTATAAAAAGCAGAATGTCTACCGGAATCCTGTAAGAAATGAGGATCCCTCCCCCTAATTTCCCCACCCCAGCTCTAGCCAGTATTAAATTTCAGGCTCCTTGAAAATAACTGACCTGGATCGTTTCTTACTGAATATAAAACTTTACATATTCTCTGCAGGGCCAAATCACCAAGAAATTCTCCGAGAGAGAGAAAAAATATTTTTAATGGAGATGTGAGTGTGAAACGTTCACAGGAAGAAACCGTACAACAGGTGCGGAGCTACAAAGTACAGGTTGGACATCTACACAGACCTTCCAAGAGGAACCAAAAATCTTCAGGTACCCCAGCGTTCTTTAGCTGTTGTTTTTGGGGCTTTTCGACAACAAACATGACCCCCTCTGGTTGGCTTTGACATATTTCGCCCATCACTTACTACTGAGTGTGTGTTTGACTTGCTTGTCTGGGCGCAATCTTTGTCGCGCTCAGCTTCTTGCTTAGCGAGCGGGAAGACCACGTTTCCGTAAATCAAAACCCCGTGGACTCCTCGTGGGAACTACAGTACCCAGCGGCCACCGCGCCATTCGCAGGAAGGACGTCTGCGCACTAAGATACTCAGTTCCAAGTTTGGAGCTTTTAGCTGCCAGCCCTGGCCCATCATGTAGCTGCAGCACAGCCTTCCCTAACGTTGCAACTGGAGGAAAAATCACTTTCCAGTCTGTTTTGCAAGGTGTGCATTTCCACCTTGATTCCCTGAAAGTCCATCTGCTGCATCGGTCAAGAGAAACTCCACTTGCATGAAGATTGCACGCCTGCAGCTTGCATCTTTGTTGCAAAACTAGCTACAGAAGAGAACCAAGGCAAAGTCTTTTGTGCTCCCCTCCCCCACCAAAGGAAAGGGGAAAATGTCTCAGTCGAAAGGTAAGAGCCTGTTTGCATTACTTGCAAAAATGCAAAGGGTTGTGCATGCATTTGTGAATGCATGGATGCAATTTTCGCCTGGCGATTGCATTTTTAAGTTTGAGGTTTTCCACAGCTCACTTGCATTTCCTGTTTAGTATGTGTCTTTTTTTGCAGACAGAGAGAGTTCCTGTAAGGCAGGGCTTGCAGTTCAGCTGTGCATTGACGTTATTTGCATTCTTCTGCTAGGATTACTGAGCTCTTTTTGCCTTTTGCACAGTCAGGAGAGAGTGAGCAGGTTGGTAGCGTCTAAATGTGCAATGCTTTATATAATTGTAAAATTCTCTAGTCTGCATACATATTATAAGTAATTTTGTGGGCAACAGGAATACAAACTTTTAAAAAGTCTGTAGGTGAAGATGAAAGGTAAAACTCGAGTTAAGCTACTAGGAAATTAATGAAATTTTATATTCTTTTGAGAATGAACCGTTGCGCTGCCAACATTCTGCTAAATTTCCATTGACTTCGCTTTAAACATTAGACAACTTTTGATTTTTAGAGGAAGTAAAGGTGAAATGTGGATAACAGCATATTACACAAAAAAAGATAAGTCTTGCTTTTCCGAGATTTTGTACTTTACACCAATTGCTTCTTGGCTCACAGTATTTAGAAGCAATAGTGAAGACCTACACGTGTTTGCCCATTTGGGAGATGCTTTGGATCTGGAAGGGAAATATGGGGGGTGGGGGGTGGGGGCTGTACTTTTAAGCTTCACACCAACATGAGGGGACTGTAGTCAGGAAAGTCTTTTACTGACAACCATCATGAAGTCTTTTAAGTGTGTAATTGCGTATAGTCAGCTATAATAGGTCAGAAGTTCAGGGTTATGTTTGCTTTCTTTATGTTTTAAAAATATCTTTCTTATGCATTTATTTCTTCATTTATTTGTTTATTTGTACATACAGTTGTATTTTGTAGCCTAATGTCATCCTGGGGAGGGAATTTTAAGAAATTCTGACATGGGATCTGAGAGCTGTCAGATACCTGTGGGACCCTTAGTCACTCATTTCACTGTTCCTTTCACTGTTCCTTCTTTACCATAGAGAAGCATATGTCTACTGAGAATGTTCAGGATGAGGAAGAGGTGAGTTAGGGACTAGCTGGTTAGGCTACCTGGGGACTACATGAGTAAGATCTGGTGGAATTAGTGTTTGCTAAGCACTTGCCACTTTTTTTTTTTGGAGTTGTTACACCTCTTTTTAATTCTACCTGATGAAAGTCATGTATCTTAGACCAAGAAGGAAGTAATGGTATTCAGGGTTCAGAGTAGGACTCTGCTTTTCTTTAGAGCAGAAAGAAAATCTAAAAAGCTAAGAGTGCTGAAGAACCTAAGAATTGGCATTTTAAGGTTAAGATGTTCCTTTTAGTGAAAACCTAAACCCTCCTAACTGAGCAGAGAAATAACAGTAGTTTAGAAGAGATAGTACATACATCAGTGTATTATTGAGATGGCATCCAGTTACTTTAGATTTGGTGAACATTCACTCATTTATCAAATTCAGTTTAATATATACATATATATGTAAATCCTTACTGGGATATACATATGTATAGCTCTGTCTATGTATATGCACATATATATTAGTATGTACTGTGTGCATGTGCACAGGATTTGGAGGACACAAAAATATTTAAAATGAGGTCTTTTCCTTCAGGGAACTCAACCACCTGGTTGGTAAAAGCAAACATATGAGGAAATCATTGTAATACAGGGTGGTAGGACAGGTATTGAAGAAAAACAGTGCTATTAAAGTTTACAGATGAAAGTTATCCTTCTGTTTGGGGGACAGGAAGTTTGATGAAAGTAGTGTGTACTGTGATCTTCCCTTTGCATCCTTAGGGTCTGTATTAAATTATGTTCCTTTTTGCATACTTTGGTCTGACTCTCCTAGAAGAGCAAGCTTTTGATTTGGAAGCTGATGAAGATAGCTGTGTGGCAGTCTGCCACTGTGACTGTGCCTATAATGGATCAGCTACTGGTGGTCCTTCAAGTCATTTTCCGTGTACTGAGATGACATGGGGTATGAACATGGGATGCTTGTCCAAAAAGAAAATGATTGGTACAAAGAAGAGGGTGATTATTTTAGAAATGGCAAAGGAGCCTTGGCCTGGACTTTAAATGTGGAACTGGCCTAATTCAGCTGTGCTGTCCTCAAATGGCTAAAACACTGTTTGCAGTAGCAAACTTCTTTTTAATACTTTAGCCAAGTGAAATGGGAGGAGAAGTGAAAGGTGGATACAACCTCATAGTATTGAGGAATTTAACAACATGTTCAATTCAAGGACCTTTATGGACTTTCTAGATAACTATAATTGGGCTTTACAGACCTCTAATTTCAGGCACAGGAGAAGCAAAGAATTACAGACTGCTTGGGAGCTTCGAGGGCTGGATTACTTCTTTCCAGCCTTACTAACAGTGAGATTCTGAGAAAGAATTTCTTAAAAAGAAATTTTGTTTTTCCCCAGTTGTAACTTTAGATGGTATGCTTTTCGGCTTGTTTATATTAGCTGTCTGGGGTTGAGCTGACATTTTTCAAATATTAAAGCAGTAGTATGCCTTTTGAGGAAATCTGAAATGTAAGTTAACAGGAAGGGCACCCAGAAAGTGCAGGAATTCCTGCACATTACAGGAAGACAAGCTACAGGAAAGATGTGTCATCTACACTACCCAGGAGAGAAAAACTATTGTTATCAGCCATCAAGTTCTTCTGAGGGAGGGAAGAGAAGAGGGAGGGAGGGAGGTCAGGCATTCCCCAGTTCACCTGAAAATCTGAAAAAAGTTTGACTCTGTTAAAATCCGCTCTTTCTCACTTCTCTTCTTATTCACATTTTAAAAAGTGAATTTATTTCGGTTTAATGGAAGGATATGTAAATCACGTGAGAAGTGCTTCTAAAGCATAATTCAGGAGCATATAGCAGAATGGTAGGAGAGAGCTTAACCCTACTGAGCACTTTGCTTCTGGGAAATGAAATGTGTAAATTGCTCATTCTGTATAAATTCTCTCATTAGGTTGTACCAGACGGACTTGTCATGCTTAGCCTGTAATCTGAGCCAGTATGTTTTATAACTCTGTACATCTCAGGACACAGCAGCAGAATAGGTACCTTGGGTTTCCTGAGCTTGTTCAGTATTAGCGTTGCCTTCAGATCTTTATGGCATGATGAACTGTAGGGGGCTTCGGAGGGCTCTTCTGGTGGTAAATGTAGTGCTGGATAAAAGGGTTGAGATTCTCAGCATTTTGTCTTTCACAGATTAATGTCATTGTAACTATTCCCCCCCAGTATTTTAAAACCTGAAAAATCTACAAGGAATATTTTTAAAATTTAAAAGAAAAAATTATATAGATAATACTTGTTCATAATGGAAATGTTCTCTAGAAAAGGACAATAAGAGCTACTAGTTACTGCAGTACACATTTTGGCATTTATCTCTTTGGACTTTTCTATGTATCTATATGTATATATACATATGTATGCAAAATGCAAAATGTGTGTAAAACTATTGTCTGATTACCTTGTTTCACTTACCAATATACTGTGAAATATTTCCAAGTCCCTATGTTTCCACATTTATAATGCCCAATGCCACTATACTTATTTAAATGGCATCTTTGTGTTTATTAATTTTAAATATGAATACTGCCATGATGACTTTCCCAGTTCACACATTGTTGTGCATGTGATGGCCTTAGACTAAATTCCAGGAAGTGAACTATAGGTTGTGAATGTCCAATTCTTTTCCCCTCTCCATTTTCTTCTATGCTTTTTGAAAATAGCTGTTTATTATTATGAAAATAATATATACTCATTGAAAAATTCAAACCAAAAAAAAGTTCATGATAAGGGTATAAAACTCATTTAAAGTCATGCCACCCAGAGGTGATAACTGTTGGCTTTTTGGTGATAGAATTTTATTTTACAATGTATATTATTTTGTCACTACCCTTGTAAACCCTGGTATCATGTATCTGGGATACTTTTCCATATTAATAAGCATAGAATTACCTTATTCTTTTTCACCATTGTAAATTTTAATTTGTGAGAATGTAGCCTTTTATTTACTCATTCTTTCAATGGGCTTTCATATAGCTCTAAAGAGCTAACACGAATTCTTACTACCACCAATATCGTTTGGAAGTTCCCATTCTTTCCTTTCAAGCATTATGGCAAATAAATTTGCTTTCCCAAAAAGTTATGCTTTTCTTCATCTCCAGTATAATAATTTGAAGAAAAAAATCTTTGCTAATGCGATAAAGTATATATATGATAAAGTATATAAATATATATAAAGTATATATATATATATGGTCTCTTTATATTTTTTTAAACAATTAGTTGATTTTTCATTTTTTGACACTTGTGCTTCATGTGTTGAATTTCTTTCTTTTGCATATAACGCATTTTTAAAATTTTAATTGAGGATCAAATTATTTTCAAAGTTAGGCCAGAAAATTCTGAGATTAGAAAGGTTAGATAATCAGATGTTGGAAGTTGTGTTCTATGCATTGAAACAATTTAATTCCTTCATGAATTCTAATTTTAATTTTAACCAAAATGCCATGTGTAAATATCACATATCTTATAAACTCATTTTGTTTATACTGTCTATAACTATCCAGACCCACTGAAAATAATAAGAAAAATGTAATGATCCAATTTAAATTCCAGTCTGGGCAATAACTTGTTTCTGGACATTTCTACAAAAGTAATTTTCTTTTATAACTGATATTTGGGCAGTACCGGGTTGTGTTATGTACATTGCTGCAGAATAATTTCATCTATTAGCTTCCTGTGCAATACCTAAGCACAGGAGGTAGTTGACCTGAATTTACTGTTTGTTAGAAGAATTAAGGCCAAATCAACTTTGGTGACCTCACAGGTTATGTAAGTCAACTAGGCTTGATATATTCTTAACATACCCTTACTGAAAATACTCATTGTATGCATCTTGATTTAATGAT